GTTTGCTGACAGAAACCATAGGCACAGAACAGCACAGAATTCTCGGCCACATTAGCTGCCAGTGCGGGCGCCGTTCCCGCGTATAGGCCTCTAAACCACCCGTCCTATCGACAAGACATGCAAATATTAATGCCTTAAGTTTCAATACTTCTAAATGTCTTAATGAGTGACAGATATAATGAATGAATGCATACCTTAAGCACAGTTTGTTTGAAACAATTCAATGTATTTGTGTATAAATGTGGAAATGTTTGCATTTTTACTTTAATTGTGTCCAACGGCTGCCCCACCAGTACAGTGGCCACACCACCTGTCGTATGACCAGGGTAGTACCATGTCAAACAAATATTAGTTATTTAAATAGAGATATTCATTGAAATAAATGATTACCGGCTGATCCGGCCATCAGATCGACGGCACCGATGGCTAACTGTCTGATCGTACTATCGGATGAAGACATAATACACCACTAAAAGACACCGCGATATCAATGGACACCGATTTCGAGGCTAGTATAGCGTATAACGCGTTGATTGGCGACAAATAAGCTAGCAACTTATGAGTGTGACTACTTTCGCAGTGAAATGCATGAAATGCAGTGAACTCTTGAACTGAAATTGAATTTCAAGTATTATTTAAGTCATTATTAAACCGTAATCTCGAGTGAAAACTCACTTGAAGTCCGACTATTTGAATGCCATTCCCTACACATGACTCGTACACTGATTTTCACTATATTTTTATCGCACTTTCCTTGCGTTCACTTATTATTTTTGTTCATTCATTTCAATCGCTTTTTTCCACTCAATTGCTCTCAATATTAATAATTTATTGATTTCACAATCAATTCATTGATATGTGTTTCGCTGGAGAAGAGTGACTTTTTAAACTACTTTTCCAAACACTACACGTGACTATCAAATACTGTACACTGTTTTGGGTACAGTTCACACCAGTTTTACACAAACACCAGTCAATTGTATTGTGTACTGTAGCTGATTGCGATATTTTTGGACGTTTTGATTTGTGTATTTAAATTATCGCTAAATTGTATGCTTTTAATAAATGTACTTTTCAATTATCATGTCTAATTTGTTTGCTCACATTATCTAAGATTAATTGTAAACTGTGTATAAAGTTTTAAATACAGTGATTACGCAAGAGATGGCATTGAATGGAAATACAGTACTGGGTTACTGTATCTACTTTGAGAGTAAGTTAGAATTATACCTTGTTACTTTAATTAGATTAATTGTTTGATAGGAGGAAATGAATTTAATGTAATGAACACATGGATTGAATGATTTAATACAACATTTTAATACTTTTCACACAACTGTCTGAATCTAAAGCATGAAATTCTGATATAAATTCTGTCGAAATGTTTGATTTTATTTGAATTCTTGATTTTCATGCTCTCACTGACAATAAGTTTGTGTCAAACTATCACTTCATGCGA